TTTTTTGGATTTTTAATAGAGATGGGTTTTCACTGTGTTGGCCAGGCTTGTCTTGAACTCCTGACCTCAGGTGATCCGCCCGCCTCTGCCTCCCAGGTACTGGGATTACAGGCGTGAGCCTCCATACCTGGCCAGATTCTGCTTTTTCAAGAGAAGACTCACAACTATATCACAGCCAAAAAGTCTTGGGAGAGATCAGGGAAAAAAAATCTCTCATATACACAGAAAGCCATGTAAGCAACAAAGGTACTTAAAAGATAACTCAAAACCAAATGAACTACATACCTAGACCCTCAAAAGATCACTGTAATAGTTACTTTTTGTGCCTCCTGGCCTGTTTGTGGACAAAAGCCTTTTAAACTGGATTCTTTCTTTACAAAGAGAAAAACATCCTTATGAAAGCCTATCATCTTTGGAATAAGGGTAAGATGACATTTCCTGCTATGCCCTTCCTATCTCTCCCATACAAATCAGAAGTCTTTAGCAGCTCTGACGTGGCAAGTGGAAGAAAAGCAACTAGAACATCTTGTTCTGGAACACCTGAGTTACCACTTCCCCACTTACCTTGAATGAATAAAAACTGTGGACTACTTTATGACTAGTAAAAACATTTGTGGAAATTAAGACATCTTCCCCAATAGACTGAGGTGAAGGGTTGTATTTATCTTGTTCACAGCTCTTATCACTTAGTGCATATTTCAGAAATATTTGCTGAGTAAATGAAAGAATGGGAAGAAAAGAATACAGGGTAAGCAACTATGGGAGGAGAGGATAATAATAACAGCAATGAAATTTAACAGACAAGTAGACCAAAGACAAGCTCAGAGAGTGATATGTTCTCCAGGCTTTAGCTCCTGATAGGAAAGTTTGGAACATATGCTGCCTGCCAGTCTCCACCGATCACCCTAAGATTGATGCATGTGTACCATTCTGAAGCATGTAGTTTGAAACTTTCACCTTCTAGGGACAAACTCTAAGACCTGGGAAAGAAAAAGATGCAAGGAAAGAACAGAGAAGAGAAAGCAACACTTTTTTTTCCTATTCTTGTTCTGCATAAGTGGATTTTCAATGAAAAATTTTAGATTTTAACACAAACCCATCAGTGTTATTGCTAAATTGGAGAACAGTATTGGAGAAGTTGGTGACATGAAATGTTCTGTTTACGTTTCTATTCTCAAGGCTATTTTCTGGTTTAAGTAAGGATGTTTACCCATTTACAAGCTTCAGTAAATTAGAATACATTTTCATTTCAGAAGCATGCTTACATTTCATGTAAGGGAGCCAGACCCTACAAGCATCTTCATGTGTCTGATAGCACTAATCAAGTTCCTACCTATCTAACAAGTAATTAGCCTCGAAAATAAGCAAATCCAGAGTATAATTTATGAGTTTTTAATTATCTTTTCTCTGCTATGGGCTTAGCTGCCTGAGGTTATAAATGCTTCCCAATCATTTCTAGTGGAAGTTAAACAACAAAAATAAAAATCAGTACTCAATACTCCACACAGAGGGTTCACAAAACAAAGGAAGTCAAAAAGAGGGGAGGGTGCAGCTGGGTACTTTCTGAAGTTAGTATCTTGAGAGTTTTTGATCAGTTAACTCAATATATTGTATTTGAAAAAGGAGAGATTAATGGTTTATTTGCTTCTCTAGTGACATCTTTAAATTTCTTGGTTTCAAGGTCAAGATGAGGTCTTCCTTTTATAGCTTAACTTCAAAGATTTAGAACTGTACAGGACCTTTAAATCACCCAGTTCAAAGATGCATATAGGCCCTCTGAGTTATATCTGATCAACAGATGTGGTTTTGCCCATCCTGTGTTGTTGTTGTTGTTGTTGGTTTTTTTTAGTCAGTTGTGAACATTTAAAATCATACATTTTATATAAAAATCCTGTCTTTGGAGCATCTCCTGAAAAGCTAGGGGATCTGGCAATACTGGGTCTCAATTCCAACATGGAAACAATGGGCTGGGGCTGTAGAGGGGCTACCTCCTTTAGGCAAGTAATGCAGACTTCAGATTACCATGGTACTCACTACTCCTCAGTATTTCTCTAACACTGAGACTTCGTTTTCATTTATCATCACACACAAGGCTACTGCTTTTTCTTGTACTAGGTCTGCTTCATTCATTTATGATACTTGACTGGTCCCTGCAAGTGTTTAAGTTTAAGACCCATAATTTAGACTAACCCATTTGCTTTACAGATGAGGGAACTGTACATGACTTCCTGTGAAGGCATCTTCAAAGATTTTACCAAGAACACACAACTAGTCAATGTCAGAGGGAAGACTAGACTCCACGTCTCCCGAATTTCAGGCCACTGTTTCTGTTGATATCCCATATTCTCTTTGATGGAGCCTAATCAATTCCTCCCCACTTAAAAATTTATTGAGAAATTTATCTGGCTTTATTGAGGTATAAGTGACAAATAAAAATTATACATATGTACAGATATGACATTTTATAAAGGAGGGAGTTTCATCCTTAATAAGTTTCACAGACTGTTTTTAGTTGTCTAATGATGAGGTATCTTCCCATTGCAACACTCTGACCCATATTCCTTGGCTGACTGCAGTTGTCTGCCTCTCTTGCAATCAAGACAAACCTGGTCCATTCCTTACTCCTGAAATCATAAGTTTTGCAACATCTCTCTACCTTGAAAACCCCATAGCATCCAGATGAGACTGTTGACACAGATACTTGTCTCCCTAGGATTAAGTACATTCTCTCCACTTCAAGGCAATCTGAACGGAAATACTTGATACTACTAAATTGTGCTACTGCATCCACATAGAGAGATGAACTGTCTTCCTTTGCCCTCTCCCAACTTTGTATTTTTATTGCAGAAATATACAAAGAGATAAACAGGAGACTGATAACCCGACAGAGAACTGAACTACACTGGGTTGGGGTACCAGATTATCACAGATGGTTTAAAATATTTTCCAGATGTCAAATTCCTCTGGAAAATTTGAAAATGGCAGTAGCACCAGTCCAAGCAGCTCAGGGTAAAGAAAACTTTTACCCAATTTACAAAGCATCCAAAAGGTAGAGTAAAAGTATACACTCAGGCCAGGCAGGGTGGCTCACTTTGGGAGGCCAAGGCAGGAAGATCACTTGAGCCCAGTCTACATAATGAGACCCCATCTGTACAAAAAAAAAAAAAAATTGTTTTTGTTTTGCGATGGAGTCTCACTCTATCACCCAGNTTGTTTTTGTTTTGCGATGGAGTCTCACTCTATCACCCAGGCTGGAGTGCAGTGGAATGATCTTGGTTCACTGCAACTTCCACCTTCTGGGTTCAAGTGATTCTCTTGCCTCAGCCTCCCAAGTAACTGGGATTACAGATGTGCGTCACCATGCCCCACTGATTTTTGGGAGAGACAGGTTTCACCATGTTGGCCAGGCTGGTCTTGAACTCCTGACCTCAGGTGATCCACCCGCCTCGGGCTTCCAAAGTGCTGGGATTACAGGCGCGAGCCACCACATCCAGCCTACAAAATATATTTTTTTAAATTAACCAGGTGTGGTGACGCATACTTTGGTCCCAGCTACTTGGGAGGCTGAGGTGGGAGAATCACTTGATCCCAGGAGATCAAGGCTGCAGTGAGCTATGATCGCGCTACTGCACTGTAGCCTGAGAGACAGAGCAAGACCTTGTCTCAGAAAAAAAAAAAATTAAAAAAATTAAATTACGCACTCTGCAGCTGTGGCCTACATGCACAGGGAGATCATGTCTTGTTGTTCCCACACTAGTTGACACAACCCAAATCCAGACAGCAAACATCCTCTAATAAAGTCTTGTCAATGGTATTGTTCATTGTTTTGGAAAACAGGTACATACCACATGTTCATCATAGTGGCATTTAAGATTTCAGATAAGTTTTTTTGGATGGTAGACAGGTAAGCCAAGAGTGGGAGGAAATGAGAACTGATTAGATTAGAGCCATAATATCCATCTTGTAAATCATCTTTCTCTGCGGGGTTGGGGGGTAAGGAAAAGATTTTAAAGTTGCTCACCTGATAACAGGTCCCAAGAGGATTAGATGCATAAATAATGATAGCGGTTTATCTTTGGCTAGGTCTCTGTGGACAAAAATGAGGGTCAACTGGACCATAATGGATGAAAACATAAAGAAGGAAAAGGTGTATGTCATCCAGTAAGTTTCACTATTCTTTCGATAGATTCTAACCATGTACAAAGCAGATGCAGCCTCCCCACAGTACAAAAAGGTGGAGAAAAGGATGCTAAATGGAAAGGTAAATCGGGGGTTGGCTCCACGGATGACATCTTCCTCCAGAGATGAAACCGGATCCACATTTGGCTCGTCAGGAATTTCATAAACTCTGTCCATTGTCGAGTTTCTTTCTGAATGTTGTGGTCTGATGTTCAGAGCACCCTCCCACGCATCCCCAAGAGAACCCTGTAGCCGCTGCAGTCCAAGTGTAGGTGAGGAGAGCTCTGTCAAGTCCAGTTTGGGAACGGAGATTCACTAGCTAGAGCAAGAGACCACGATCTTCCAGACTCAGATTCGAGTTGGAGTCTGGGATGGAAAACCCAGGAGTACTACTTTGAACTTGACTCTTAATTGACCCAGGATTCCAATCGTCAACATACTTGCTGTGAAACTGGAACAAGACAAAAGCAAGCATCCCAGCGCCCCATCCAGAGTCCAACTCCAGGGACGTGAAGAGTCCTGAGAACAGCAGCTTCCGTGGTGGCTCCTTTCGCAGTCCCTCAGGCAGGGAGTAGCCACTCTGTCGGGGCACTGACACTCAGCAGCTCCTCACAAAGAGTCCTGATTAGTGTGTCCTCGCAAGCCAGCGGAGAGCTGAGCCAGGGCAGAAGAGGGGGCGCAGTGTGATCGTCCGTTCGGGGGATTCAGTTCAGTGCCTGGGTATCCTAGCTACTGCTAGGCTGTAGCTATTAGCTTGCCTGCTCACCTGCGCGCCCTCAGGATCTTCACTGAGTCCAGGGTTCTCAGGCTGGCTCCTCGGATTCCCCCAAGCCCCGCCCACAAGACCGCCGGGCCCGGGACTGGAGTATTATCACCACCCTGTCTCCCAGTACCGTGTTGGGGGACAGAAGCAGAGTGCGCGCGCTCTACAAGATCAAGAAAAGGCTGGAGAGGCTGCTTCTCCACGGAGAAACTTTGCTAGTGAGAGGCACTACGTGCGGGGCGCCAACCTGGCTGGACAGATGTCGCCAAACTCTTGGACGCCGTCTGGTGCCAGGGTCCTGCCTGGCTTGTGATTCCTGCTGCGAAAGGTCGTCAGCTTCAAGAACTAAGGCACCAGGACGGTGGGGCGGGCGAGATGGGCGGGATGGCTGGGGCCAAATAAAACCAGCTGGAGAGTTCCAGGGGGACGGCCAGGAGAGGGGGGACAAAAGGAGGCTCGGGCCACTCTTCAGAAGCACTTCTGACCGCGATTTCCAGACCCAGGCGGGAGCCACAGCTTCACTCTTCCCTAAGAGCAGCAGGCACCCACTTCTACCCCGCCCTCCCTAACTAGTTAAGTGGCTTGCTCCCACACTCTACCCACGCGGTTAGGCAGGTGTGTCTCCCTCGGCCGCAGGGTTGAACCTCCCTAGGTCCTACTGCCCTCCAGATAATATCATGAGAGGGAGAACCTGGGAAGAATTGGGTCAGAGTTTTCAGCCGAGGGAAGATGGAACAGGATAGAGGTCAAGACTCAAGGTCAGCCCACAGACACTGAGCTCCTATTTTATGCCTTGATTTCTCCACTTGCAAAATGAGGCCAGGATAGGAGCTTTAGAATGAACTTACAGGTCTTTGGTTGAAAGGTTATGAAGTGCCAAATTCGAAACAGACTGGCAGAGCCAAGAGAGCGCTGTTAGTAAAAATTGAGAGGGGTGTCTTAAAGAGCTTTGAAAATTACCTGTATTAAGTGTCATCCTCCCCCATCTCACTGAGCTTTTGTTTGCATGTCTTCATTTACATAATTCTAAACCTCACAGAAAAAGAGAAAACGGCTGCCTCCTGGTAATAATATAAATGTAGGCCAGGCACAGTGGCTCATGCCTGAAATCCCAGCACTTTGGGAGGCCAAGGCAGGCAGATCACTTGAGGCCAGGAGTTCAAGACCAGGGTGGTCAACATGGTAAAACCCAATCTCTACTAAAAATACAAAAATCAGCCAGGCATGGTGGTGCCTGACTGTAATCCCAGCTACTCAGGAGGCTGAGGCAGGAGATTCACTTAAACCCGGGAGGCAGAAGTTGCCATGAGCAGAGATCACACCACTGCACTCCAGCCTGGGTGACAGAGCAAGACTATGTCTCAATAACAACAATAATAATAATATCAATGTAGCAGAGCCTGTGCCAATCTCCTTTTGCTGCAGGAAGTCAGTAAAACAAATCTATGTGAGGAGCGGCCAAGTAGCAGCACCAAAATGATGGCCTACAGATTGTCCTGTCATTATGTTGTTTTATAAGGTTTCCATGATTACTGCCTCCTTTCCCCAGGGCTGATTCAGAGACAGGTTCAACATCTAAAGGTTGTTGCCTTCTGAAGCAGACTCCCCATCTTGGTTTGCACCTGTGCTAGAAGCTGGGCTAGGAGGCTGCTCCTTTCTCCTTTCCATTTCATGAGGGAGGACAACACTATTGAGAACAACTTCAGAGAGTGTTCTTTTTCTTATTAGTTGGGACATTCCAATTGGGACAAGGTTCTACACCACCAATATATGGTGCAGAACCTCTGTGGCTCCTTGGGTACCTGTTCACAAGGTGAATCTCAGGCCAAGTGACGAACTCATCCCATTTCACTGGGATAGGGTGAGTTGGTGCCCCTTAACATGGGAGAGTCAGCAGGGCATGATGGCTCACGCCTGTAATCCCAACATTTTGGGAGGCTGAGGCAGGTGGGTCACCTGTGGTCAGGAGTTTGAGACAAGCCTGACCAACATGGTGAAATCCCGTCTCTATTAAAAATTCAAAAATTAGCTGGGGGTGGCAGTGGGCACCTGTAATCCCAGGTACTCAGGAGGCTGAGGCAGAAGAATCTCTTGAACACAGGAGGCAGAGGTTGCAGTGAGCCAAGATAGCACCATTGTACTCCAGCCTGGGTGACAAGAGTGAAACTCCACCTCAAAATAATAGTAATAATAATAATAATTAAATAATAAAACATGAGAGCATAAAGCTACAAAGAAGAATGTAGAATCCCAACATTTACCTTTTAGCCTTTCCTCCTTCTTCTCCATGGCCTCGTCTCTCCCCAAATACACAAATTTACAATGACTTCCTACTTTGTTCCAAAATAACTCTTTCTGTCTGTCATTCAAGGCTCTGTATAATCACCATATTACTTCCCTCTCAAACTTTATTGCCCACAATACCCCTACCACAAGGCCGGCCAGTTTTCTCACTTCTCCTATTTGCCTTGCTCACTCCCACTTCTGTGTCTTGTTGATGCGATTTACAACCCCCTTCACCCTTTTCTCCATTGGTCCAAACTGTAACTTTCTTTCAAGGGTGAGCCCAAGTGCTACCTCCTGCAAGAAGCCTTCTGTTGCCTCTCCAACCCTGACTTTTCTTTGTCATTGTGCTACTGGCACATGCTCTCTTGTACTAGTCCTACAACTCTTTTTTTTGAGATGGAGTCTCTCTCTGTCGCCCAGGATGGAGTGCAGTGGCACAATCTTGGCTCACTGCAACATCTGCCTCCTGGGTTCAAGTAATTCTCTTGCCTCAGCCTCCTGAGTAGCTGGGACAACAGGCACATGCCACCACGCCCGGCTATTTTTTGTATTTTTAGTAGAGACAGGTTTTATCACGTTGGTCACTCTTGTCTCGAACTCCTGACTTCATGATCCAATTGTCTTGGGCTCCCAAGTGCTGGGACTGCAGGCGTGAGCCACTGCACCTGGCCCCTAGTCCTTCAACTATTTCTGTGTTTGTCCTGCCTCCCCCCAAAAAGTGTAAAGTTAGTGAGGGAAGAATACACAATGATTGTTTATGGTGCCACTTGTTGATGACAATGGTGCTTGACAAATGGGGATGATGATGAAGCTTCCTCCCCCATACTTCCTCAATGAAACCATGCAAGACTCAGACACACTCATCTCTAAAAGCTGTGGCATGGCCACTGTAGCCGGGGAATAAACTCCTCAGGCTGAATGAGCACTGTTTCATTCAGCCATCAGCTCACAGAGGTTCCCAGGCCACATGACCTGTCCCTTCTCAAGAATTTCTACAGCATTTTTTTTGTTTGTTTATACCAGAGTATAGCACCAAAATTATTTCAAGTGTATTCATTTTTATTCCCCAACTAAATTATCATGGGCTCCTTGAGGTCAGAGCTCCTATTACTATACTTTTGTTGGACTCCCCCATGACTGGTATAGATCTGTAAAGTTCCTGTCACCTGATCCCCCTCACCCACCAACTTCTCTATTTTCAGTCCTAGGACTCTCTGGCACTTTAGGTCACTAAATCCTCTGGTCTCTTATTTCCCTGTTCCTTTGCGCTGCTGGGAGAAGCTAGCAGAGAATTCGCGATTTCTGCCCAAACACTCTTTGCTCTCTCAGGCCATCTCTATAGACTCCAGCTCTTCTTGGGACTGAAGATGCTGGCAATGTTGGCAGTCATAAGGCTGCTGAGGTTCTAGGAACTCCTTCCCCATTAAGAGCACTGATCTCCCACGGACTGGTCATCTGAGGTGACACCTAGGCTGCTCCCTGAATGCCAGGTAGTGTTCAAGCATCAATTTCTCTATGTTTTTTTTTTTTT